AAAAAAAAAGACGAGATTCCCCTTCCTTTCCTAAAATACCATGGGATAAGTAAGCTTTGCACTACTCAACAATTGACCTCTTGGCTATATGAAGGGATAACTTGAGCGAGTGAAGAAAAAACTGTCAAAACCTCACTCAACGTATATCAAAAGGGACAAATACACGTTTGTTCTATACCTGCTTGATGTTCTTCGCGGGATCGAGCTGGTAGTCTGTTGCGTATTGCAACGGCGGAGAAGCAATCCCTAGAATCAACAATCACTTAAGCCGAATTCGACATGGGATACCTAATTGCAGACTCATATACGTTCTCAAAACTAACATCACGTAACACGGTTATCCCTTCTAATTGCAAGAGTATACGAAGTGCAAAAAGTGCTGTCGAAAATAGAAGAGGCTCAATTTTTGTCTAATGTCTGTAAATCCTTCGCTCTCAAATCTAGTGTGTTCTGAGGCAAAATGAGCCGACCTTACTGCGCGTCAAAGGTGCTTCACTAAAATTATTTTAATCCATCGCTAGTCAATGACAAGTTAATTGAATAAAAACAATGTTATTATAGCAGCAAGGCAGCTAACAACCGAAAAAAAAACTCGTTAAGATATGGTGTCTTGAGCTTAATTGTTCTGTTTTCTTTATTCACATATGAATTTGCTGTCATAACAATAATGAACTACTGATGCAAGGCCTGCTACCAAGCCACCAAATCTCAATGGATGATGATGCAATCCAAACAGGTACAACTAACTCTCGAGAATTACATTTCTTAAATAAAATTGAGAACTTGCAAGCAACAAACATGAAGACTGCTTACGGGTCTAGCAGTGAAGCGTGCCGAGGGAGGAAGCGCCATTATCCGCTTGTCGTCTTCGGACAGGGTACCAGGCTCTTGTCTCTCCAATTCAGCTACCAACATGTGACGCAACTATAACCGTTCCTTTCTACAATGATAATAAGTGCTTATAATAAGCACACAAAATACTTAAAAAGATGACAGCAGCCAAGAAAAGGAAAATAAGACAACGCGAGAAAATAAATTACAGACCCGGATTTCCGGCGGAAATCCTACGAACAGTTGTTGAATATGGGCCAACGCAGCACAAATTGGACTCGGCTCGGACTTCTTGACTGCTATCACTTTCTCAATGCATTTCTCCCTATCAAATATATCATTTAAAATACTTCAGCAAAAATTAATGAAAGGTAACCTCAATGATGGTGACAAGAACACCTTAGACGTTCGCATATGCACCATTACCACCGGCAGCTCTCCCAATATCTCATCATAGAAGTCCACAGCCGCCTAAAAATGCAAATGGAAAACAAAAGATGATGAAATTTGTTGAATACTGGAAAGCATACCCCAAAGTCTCCCGAGGAACTCATATTATCTAGAAGTTTTCGTTCCTGAGCGCTACATTCTTGCTCAACTTCATCGATGACTTCTTTACAGAACATATCATATAGTTCGTCAGTGATCTGATCCAACTACAAAAGACAAAATGTAAAAAGTTAAGAATGAAAGAGCCCATAAATGCAAAACTGACCCGCACATAATTCTCAGGCATAGGATTTGGTGGAAAACCCCTTCTTGGCATGCGGATATAAGCTGTGAGACAAACTTATCTGTATTTGCATAGACATCTAAGAAGAAAAAGCTTACTTTTAGGCACGGGAGCTGGTGTTATCGTCTTCATGTGTGTGCTATGAGTTTGTGGTTCGGACGTTGAGTCCTGGCAGAGATGAAAATTAGAAGGAAAAAAGACCTTTTTAAAAGTCGTTAGTCTAAAGCTATTTCCAAGGAAAAAACTGGTATTTAAGGATTGTTATACATATAAGGAAGCTTTCCTCTACTCGAATAAAAGTGTTGTACTTCAAAAAGCTTTCGTAGTTAACAAGAAAACATAAATTCCTCTCTACAAGAAAAACGTACCGGCTGTGATTGCGGCTCATTGTCTGACATGATGCATTAATCAAG